ATTATAATTTAATCTATCACGTGACAAATTTTCAAACCCGGGAAAATAAAAGCAAAAATATTATATTTTTTCCATTTAGAAGATATTACCAGACTCATTAGCCAATTTCGTAAATCAGCCAGACTTATTATTATAAACAGTTCATGATTGTATCAATTTACATGCTCAATTTTCTGCCACACTCACTTACTTTCCACTATCTGAGATAATCCAAACTGCTATTTTTATAAGCTTTATGTTCTAGTTTAGTAAATGTAAAATAATTATGACTGGGAAAATAAGTGTCAGACTCAAAAATTTTGTTTTTTGTCACTAAGAAAACAGTTTATTTTTCATATACACCGACTGAAAAAATGATTACGAAAAAAATTCACTGCCTCTTGAACTAAATGTAAAATTGCAGAATCAATCAAATGACACGATTCTTTTTATTTTTTAATTTCTGTTCTGAAATCTGAAATGTTTGGGTGGATGTGCGATAAATGTTTGAATTATTTTTGGGGGGGCTAATTTGGTTTTTGGGGGGGCTTAGCCCCCCCAAGCCCCCCCTTAACTTCGCCCATGAGTGGAGGTCATTATCCTCTAGATGTAAAGGTACAAATCCTTATATTTCTGTTTTATATGGCTACCCAAGATACCCTGTTGAGCATTGGGAGTAGGTTTAGCGTTTCTGCACCTACTGTAATGAGTATTGTTAACAAGGTTTTATACTTTTTGATGAGGCTGAAGAAAATTTATATAAAATTTCCAAAGACAGAAGCTCAGCTTGAAGAAGTATCTAGGGGATTCAGGCACTATCCAGGTAACTAAGCTGATCTAATAAAATTAATCATAAAGTAATCAAATTTATGTTACTAGGAGCTGTAGGTGTTATTGATAGGACACATGTTTTCGTAAAAGTGGAACAACAACAGCATGAAAGTTACACAGATTGTTATCGAAGGCAGTCGATAAATATTATGGGAATTTGTGACGCGAACAAATTGTTCATATATGTATTTGCTGGTTTTCCAGGTTCAGCTCACGATTCCAGAGTAAGTATGCAAATATTCAAAACTGTCAAATATCTCTGCTTAATTGAATAATGTAGATATTATTTTTGGTATATTCAACAGATGAAAATATTTTATACATGTCTGACTTGTTCTGCAAAATTTTAAATAATTAATATACCTAGCTTTTAAAAACAACAATGTATTTATTTTAAAATAATTCAGATTTTTAATAACTGAGGTAGGTACATCTGAAGCTTCGTGAAAAGTATAACGGGATCCAAGTTATATACAATGATTATTTAATTTTGTATTCATATTGTTTTTAGGTGTTTGAAAATTCCAATTTTTTTAAAAATATAGAAGATTGTGGACCCAACAGCGTTTTCTTTGATACTAAAAAGTACCACCTAATTGGTGATAGTGCCTTCACTTTAAAAACTTGGCTAATGACACCCTATAGGGATAACAACCAATTAACTAGAAAACAGAAGTTCCATAATTACCGCTTGTCTGCTGATCGAATCGCTATAGAACACACATTCGGGATTCTAAAGGGAAGATGGAGAAGGCTTCACTTTATTAATACATACAATATTTGTAAAACCATTGAGATTGCTATGGCAGGATGTGTGTTACACAATTTTTGTTATATAAACGAAGACATATGGGAAGAGGAAGTCACACATGAAAAGAGGCCAATGAATAATAATGATGAAGAAAATAATAGGGAAGGACAAATAAAAAGAAATGAAATAGCAAATAATTTATTTAATATATATATATATATATAATTCATTAAACTTTACAAAAAAAAACATAACTTTTATTTCTCTTCTAAATCAACATTTTTGAACTTATAAACTAAAAATAAAACATCTTAACATTATTCAGAATCTGAATAGTCATCTTTTTTACGTTTCTTTGCCAATAGTTCAGACCGATTATCTCTACTTCCTTTAATCAGTTCTTTCAAAACTTCTGTGAGCCTTTCTCTTTGTTGGAATGTTTTTTTCCAAATGTTCTTTCATGAATGATGCATTTTTTTCCTGAATATTTGTACTTTTTTGCAATTCCTTCAAAATGGTGTCTGTTTTAGTTGGAGGTCTAACTCTTCTTCTAACGTTTTTAAAACGAGTAGAATGTAAAGGTGATTCATCCTCTTTTTCATCCTGTTTTTCATCCTCAGTATCCATATTTTCATTCTCATTCTTTTGTTCATCTCCTGTTTGTGCATTTAAATTATTTTTCATTTGTGAGCTTTCAGAATCTTCTAAGTAAGTAGGATTTACTTTATGCTTTGATCCTAAAAATATATTTTATTCTTAGGTAGAAATTCATATAAATACAAGTTAAAATACACAACCCCATAACTTTAGTAAACTGTTTCAGATCATGCAGTAAACATCAGTAATAGATGATAAGGTTTCTTAAAATGTGCCAGCATTGCTATATTCTAAACCCTAATAGACTTTTAGAAAATTAAATAAAAAAGGTTACTATTTTGGGAACATTAATGGCCAAAATAAAATATATAGGTTCTATTGTCATTCTCGAGTTGTACAGTGAAAACATTCTTGCACAAACTTTGTTTAAAAGACATGAAAAAGCTAGAAAAGGAAAAGTTTATTTGGTATTTATAATAGCTTAACATTAAATCTTTGATATGTTGTTTCATGTTGATTTTAGGGTTTAGAATATCTTATATCAATGTTAGCACACAATAAAAACAAAAGCCAGTGTACAGAAAAAAATTGATATTGAACTACTTACCAATAATTGAATGAATTTTATCAAAAAAGTCTGGTATATCATTTTTTTGTGCTCCAGTCTTCTTTTGATGCTTTATATATCCCATGTACGATTTTGTTAGATTGGCAAACTTCTGTCTACAACGTTCCCCTCCATCTTCTCCAATATGAAAGCCACCTTGTTCTAAGTGCTGGGATATTTTATGCCATAACTTTCCTTTTTGAGTTTTTTTATCATCAAATTCATGTTGCCATTTCTGCCGTAAATCGAGAAAAAGCTCTGTAGCCATTCGGTCCGTTTCAGTTGGCTTCTTACTGGTCCAAATATATTGAATACTAGATCCAGGAAGATTCATATATTCCTCTGAACTTTCAAGTTTTGTGGTACTAGATGAAGGATGATTTACATATTCATCTGTCATTCTCTAATCAAACTAGTCTTTTTGTAAAATTTTTATCAGAGACAATGACTGACAACATAATTGGTAAGGTTCTCATCTAATACAAAATCCTATATAGAACTTAATTCAAAAGAAATAAAAATGTACACTTACCATTTAAAATTAGATTAGCGGCTTCTATGCTATTTACAATCACGTTGTAATCTCGTCCTTCAAAGTTTATTGAAAGTTGAAATTGGTCGTTTTCCATAATGTAATTTTTAATTTTTCTATAACCAAGTATAAAAATATGCACTTTATTTCGAAAAATATCTTATAAACACCATAAATAAACATATATGACAAATGACATTTAGAAAATAGCTCTTGAGGATGGTATTTACCGGTTACAAGTATGACGTAGCGAAGGGCTTGTTTATGACGACACTTCCAATAAACCAGCAATGACCGAAGTCGCTTTAACTCTATTGTTAAGTACCGGTCTTTTTTGGTTATCTTTGGTAACTCGCTTTAAATTAGCTATTAATTAATAAATAACTTCATGTGAGTGGACTAAGTTTACACAGTAAAAATTTTCATTTTTAACTCGTTAATTCAGACGGCGCTACAAGATATAATAAAGAGGAGATGGTATGACGATAGTCAAGTGTTCGCACCTTTGCATTACACTTTTACGTCATATGTCGAACTCGAGATAGTCGGTATTTAACAAAAATGACATTTATTCTCACCGAAACTTGAGTCGTACTTTGATTTATTTGGAGTTAATAATTTTATATTTAAAGAATGACGAAATGAAAATGATTTTATATCATTTAAATGAAGTTATTTAACAAAAATTACATTTATTTTCACCAAAACTTTCATTTAAATGATATAAAATCATTTTCATTCCGCCATTCTTCAAATATAAAATTATCAACTTCAAATAAATCACAGTACGACTCAAATATCCATTCTCATTACACTTTTCTGTCAGTCGAAGTCCATTCATCTGTCTTATCGCAAAATAGTGTTTATGTCGTCTACTTTATTCAATCTCGATACTGTCATCCAAAAACGATCGTATTTTTTCTGTTTATATTTATTACATTAAATTAAATTGATATTTTTACTTTTTCTGAAATTTTACCGGACTGTCAACATGTTCTACCCATTTTCGTAGTTCATAAACAGTACTAACTGAACTGGAATACACTAGACTAAATATCTATATTTTATGTTGGAATTATATCAAACATTTTTCGATATTTGGCAAAGATATTGATACGAAAATATACAAAATCGTGAACAAAACTAATATAAGGCATGGTTATGGTTATATCTTTTTCATTTCGCTATTAAGAAGCTATCAAAAAATTTAAATGAATTATTCATTGGCATACGTTTCTTTGGACTTTATTTATTATGTGCATTATGTATGATGCGGGTGTTATTAAAAACACATAAATTATTTATTAATAAAAAATATAGAAAACTGATATAAAAAAACTAGTTGGCAAAAGTTGTTGGATTTGATTAATTCTTGGGCATATTTGGACATAACATTAGTATCAGCAAATTAGATTGTGGAAAGCAATTTCTTATCACAATTTCTGACCATCTGTAGTTATTCTGTTGCAACTGATGACCTATAACATAATTATACCAAAAAGTTAATACTAACCAGTAAAGGAGCTCATCTACTGTTCTTTTTATTTGAAGCTAGGTAGATAGAAATTGTTTTTATCTATATTATTTGAAATCATGTTTCTGAGTATTGAATTGATAAAAAAATAATTACCAATGGAATGGATAAATAAATGACTAAATGAATGACTAAATGATAACATAAATATTATTTATTAAATATATGAATGAAAGTATGGATAATTGAATGGATAAATGAATGGATAAATAAATTGATAAATGATTGGATTAATGAATGGATTAATGACTGGATAAATGAATGGATAAATGAATGGATAAATGAATGGATAAATGAATGGATAAATGAATGGATAAATGAATGGATAAATGAATGGATAAATGAATGGATAAATGAATGGATAAATGAATGGATAAATGAATGGATAAATGAATGGATAAATGAATGGATAAATGAATGGATAAATGAATGGATAAATGAATGGATAAATGAATGGATAAATGAATGGATAAATGAATGGATAAATGAATGGATAAATGAATGGATAAATGAATGGATAAATGAATGGATAAATGAATGGATAAATGAATGGATAAATGAATGGATAAATGAATGGATAAATGAATGGATAAATGAATGGATAAATGAATGGATAAATGAATGGATAAATGAATGCATAAATGAATGGATAAATGAATGGATAAATAAATGGAAAAATGAATCGATAAATGAATGGTCAAATTAATGGATAAATGAATGGGCAAATGAATGAATAAGTGAATGGATACAAGAATAGGTAAATGAATGAATAAAATAATGGATAAATTAATGGATAAATTAATGGCTAAATGAATGGATAGATGATTGGATAATGAATGGATAAATGAATGGATAAATGAATGGATAAATGAATGGATAAATAAATGGTTAAATGAACGGATAAATTAAATTAATGGAATAATGTATGGGTAATTTAATGGATAAATGAATAGATAAATGAATGGATAAATGATTGGATTATTGAATGGATAAATAAATGGATAAATGAGTAGATAAATGAAAAGATAAATTAATGGATAAATAAATGGATAAATCAGAGGCTTTAGAACAAAAACCCTAAATATTTGAGGGTATTTCAGACGTTACACAATATGCAGGTTTCTTTTTTTACAAAAAGCTGGTGTAGTGATACGATTCACGACGGAGAACTATTTGATCTTGTAACTTTAGATGTTTACAGGGTTGGTCGGTAATATGAAATAACTAATTCCTTAAGAGGTGGTCTGAAAAAGGAACTAAATTTCAGTTTGATGAATACAGGTGATATAGTGATATTTGTGTTCCAACTCCCTCAAATACCAATATTGATTTCCTACTTATTAAAATAAGACCATGCTGTATATAAATGTATATAAATTTTGCTTATTTATATACCCACTTCTAATTCAATTGATGATTATAAGGTAGTTCTGAAAACACTATCTCTATATGCAATTTTATATGATAAAGTATGTTTCTCAAATTATTGGTCCTAGTATTTCTGCCAAACTTTTGCAAATTTCTATAATTTACAGCAGTTCAATTTAGTCAAAAATAAATTTCAACTCTTAGAGGGAAAGCCCACTCACGCGACATGTCGCGCGCGACCTATCGCGAGGCATCGCGCGCGGCAATACCTTAGATGTTTTTCAATGACTCTTAGCTGCGTGCGACCATGCGACAGAACCACGTTAATGGGCTTTGAGTCATTTAAAAACATCAAAAGTATTGCCGCGCGCGATGCCTCGCGATCAGTCGCGCGCGTCATGTCGCGTGAGTGGGCTTTCCCTCTTATGGTATTCAGTTAACTTTAATAATGCAACGAACTATATTGACTAGAGCTTTATGCAGATATGTAGATATTAGTCTTCAGTTATTGAACAAAAAATTATTTGTTATTTTTAGAGAACATTTTCCCATTAAGAAAAGGAATTCCAGAACTTATCCGCCGTGGTTTGATGGTAACATAATTCCATGATTTGACAAAAAGAAAAAGCATATAGTCGTTAGATGCTCAAACTATATTTCAAAACCTTCGCTCTAATATTAAACAAAGATCTCATTGGCTCACACTTCGTATTTGCCAAATATTAAAAAAAAAATCATATAAAGCGATCCCAAACAATTTTGGATCTATATAAATTCTAAAAATTCTTCATTTTCCATACCAACATCAGTTGAGTATAATGACAGCTTTATCGAGGACTCACAAGCAATTGTTCAGGCTTTTGAAGACTCTTTTCAGTATTTTTTCTCAAATAACAACTACCAACTATGCAAATGAATTGATGTCAGAGTTACCAATAATATATATCAAATCAATATCACGAGACGAAATTGTCAAGCCTATTAAAAAATTAAAATCTAATATGACAATGGGGTCGGATCTATTACCTTCTCTTTTTATTAAAGACTGTGCATTCATTTTCTACATACAATTTTTAATATAATTTTAAAATCTTGTACTATCTCTAGTGAGCGGAAGATATCCGGTTCATAAAAAAGGCAATAAAAATCATGTTTAGTATTATAGACCAATGTATATGTAACTTTGCTAAGATATTAGAATTCGTTTTATATGATCATTTTTATCTAATCATATTTCTCGATAATATATCCTCAGATCAACACAGATTCATGGAAGGTAGGTCCACGATCACAAATCTTATTTGTTCCAAACAGTTTATATCAGTGGCCTTAGATAGATAAAGTCAAGTAGATGTGATATACTCGGTGTCCCATTAGTGCGTAATTGTTCAATATTTTAATTTGTGTTAAACAAGTTTCAAATAAAAGTTGTTGAATTACATTCAACAAGTTGCATTCGTTACGCTCAATATTGCATCAAATATACACTAAGCTTTCATTCTCTTTAAGCGGCACTGCCTTGGCCGATAAGAAAGGTCTTCCAAAAAATAACTACGTCACAGACATTATTTACTTCTTGTCTTGTTCTCTTGGTTACCGCCATACGCGGCGTCCACTTTCATTGATTATCGCCACAGGCATTATGCACTTCTTATTGGTCAACGCCAAGCGTAACTCTCAAGTTGGCTTAGCGACGTTTAAAGGCGACGCTTCGTCCGCCATCATGTAACATAACTCTTATATATTTAACATAGCCTGAGTAGCAAATTTCCTAGAGAAATACTATAAATAGTGCAAAAAGTAATTAGTAAAAAAAAAATCGTCCCATTAGTATTTAAAAAGGTGATCTTTTATTCCAAGTTCTACATCTCCTGGGATTATGGATCGCACAGGTATTTTCAAACTTCATTATTAATGCAGTTTGTTTATTGGAGCCGAAATCTGTATATCGATCAAAGTTATATGAATTAAAAAAATACATGTCTTAAAAACATTTTTGGCTTTATAGAGTGTTTCAGATTTGCGTGGAAAATAAAAATGTACATTTTTTTAAATTAAACACCCTGCATTTTATTTCAGTTTTAGAATGGTTTGGTAATACTGTATTCAATCCCAAAATTTTTTTAAAATTTATTACAGGTTTGCCAAGCAATTAAAGAATGAAGCAGACCCCAAACTAAATTATCATAATTTAGGTTGATCAACAATGATTTCAAAACTGTTTAAAATACAGACCCATAAGATACTAAGCTAACAAATAGTGGTGATAAAACTGAATTATTTTATACAGAGTGTTTTGAAACAAGTCTTAAATATGGCTAATTGTAAGTTCAATTTCCTCAATTTTTTCAAACGCAACACCCTGTATATTATTTTACAATTCCTTATAAATGTACCTATCCGAGGATACCAACATGTCAACCATTAACACATATACAGGGTGTCCCATCAGTGCTTAATTTATGACAGTTGTTTAATTATTGACATTATTATTTGTTCTATTTCCCGATGTCGTTGTTAATAGGTTCACAGGTTCGGTCAAAAACGGACAGCTCACTAGATTTTTTGCATTATTAGCCCAGTGATCAACAAAGTGCTGGAATAAGTTTACTTTGCTTTTTTTTTTAGATAGCCTTTTTTTAATATACATGAATTTTGTTACCATTTGAGATACTATGAAAGGCACTAATTAACATTTGTCGTTATTGACCGTCAGATATTGACTGGTTTAGGTGCCCCATTTTCGCATAAAAGCCTCGTAGAGGGTTAAAAAGTACATCGATTTTGAGTAGAATGAAAGGTAATTTATGAGTGATTCCGGGGATAACATATACGGAAATTGTATTTTCCTTAACAGAAATTAATGGTATTTGTTGCTCACATTTTCACGCAAGCCGCATTCACTAAATGATAAACTAATAGAACAAGGCTTCGGAAAACCAAAGGCTTTAATGTTGCAAATGGCTAAAGGGTTAAAATAAGAGCGTAATTTTGTTGGAAAAAAATCTAGAATTTAACCGATTTTTCCGCCCAATCCCACCGAATATATGAAAACTTACATCGTCACTAATCCAAAAAAATATTGGCTCAAATGACTCGAATGGATAAGTGCATTTTTCTATACCCAAAAGCCACTCGTAAATTTCCATTCATTCTACTCAATATTGATGTATTTTCCAAACCTTTTCGAGGCTAATATTCGAAAATGGGGCACCTAAATCGGTCTATAAAACGTAAAAAATCCGTAAACGAAAACGCAAAGGAATGAATACAAAAACTTGAAAAAAAAAATCTCTATGATTTTGCTTTAAAGAAAAATGTAATGAAAACGTAAAGAAGAACGTTATGAAAATCGTAAAGAAAAACGCAAAGAAAAACTAAAGAAACACGTAAAGAAAAACGTAAAGAAAAACGTAAAGAAAAACGTAAAGCAAAACGTAAAGAAAAACGTAAAGAAAAACGTAAAGAAAAACATAAAGAAAAACGTAAAGAAAAACGTAAAGAAAACGTAAAGAAAAACGTAAAGAAAAACGTAAAGAAAAACGTAAAGAAAAACGTAAAGAAAAACGTAAAGAAAAACGTAAAGAAAAACGTAAAGAAAAACGTAAAGAAAAACGTAAAGAAAAACGTAAAGAAAAACGTAAAGAAAAACGTAAAGAAAAACGTAAAGAAAAACGTAAAGAAAAACGTAAAGAAAAACGTAAAGAAAAACGTAAAGAAAAACGTAAAGAAAAACGTAAAGAAAAACGTAAAGAAAAACGTAAAGAAAAACGTAAAGAAAAACGTAAAGAAAAACGTAAAGAAAAACGTAAAGAAAAACGTAAAGAAAAACGTAAAGAAAAACGTAAAGAAAAACGTAAAGAAAAACTTAAAGAAAACGTAAAGAAAAACGTAAAGAAAAACGTAAAAAAAAACAAAGAAAAACGTAAAGAAAAATGTAAAGAAAAACGTAAAGAAAAACGTAAAGAAAAACGTAAAGAAAAATGTAAAGAAAAACGTAAAGAAAAACGTAAAGAAAAACGTTAAGAAAAACGTAACGAAAAACGTAAAGAAAAACGTAAATTTAAACATAGAAAAACGTAAAAAATGTTCAGATTATAAATCAAATAAATCAATGATTACATTTTGGGCATTCTGTAGAGAACCATGACATCCATTAGTCTGGTACTACAATAATGCCTAAGGTATGTTAATGTAGTGAAGAAACGCTGTATAATAATAACAAATGATAGGAAGGAAGTGGCACTGATTGATTATATAAATGCTACATTAGCATACCATGTTTTTATAACAGGTTTTAAATCACAGGCACTACGAAACCCAACACTGACCTGGAGCTTAAACGTTCTTTTGGGCCCTGTATCGAATGTATAACGTCTTTAGCCGGTTTTTAGTTAATTTGATCGCTTTAAGTGTCTTCGGCAGAGAACATTTATCTTCTGTCCCTCATTCTACGTGAGGCCTTCATCTTCAAATCAAACAATTTAAAATACAGTATAAAAATTATTTATGTGAATAATTTACAGCATTTTAAACAAAAACTGAAATAAGTTTAATCTAGATTCTACAAATAGTAAATCATTGTTTAAAAAACATTAATTCATTGGGATTTAAAGGCAATTTCTGGAATAAGAAAATAAATACAATGAACACAAAAATGGTATTTTATTGTGCCATATGACGAAATTAAACAAAATTTGTACTTAAATTCAATGAATATTTGAATATTCATGTTATAACTCAGTGATTGACACAATGACTTCTAATCATAGATTAATAAATAAGTGGATTGAATTAATATCACTGCTAAGAATAAACAATAAACGCAAAACATCAAAAATTTAATATATTTTTCATGAATTAATGCAAAAATTATATGATTCAATGTTTGATGATTATTAATTAGACGTATTTTAAGATACCTAATTTATTATATTATTTATTCTACTACAAGATGCTAAATTTCTTATAAATTTACCTTTAAAATAAAGTACCACTTGACTACCGCCTTTGCATACTTTGACACTTAAAAACAATTCTGAATATGCGATTTTCTGTAGTGGTCGTCGAAAAACATATTTTCTGTATTCCTATAATATTTACATGCTACTAAACTCCTAGTAGGCGGGATAGCTAATGAATTACTTTGCCAAATGATGACGTAGCTGTGTTCATCTAATTGTAATCGGACCCTACCTTATTATCGTAAAAACCAGAATAGCTTAAACTAGGATAAAATGAACGTTTTCATTTACAGTGATTGGGCGTATACATTTAGTCAAAAAGAGTCTCACCAAATACTACATTGGTCGCAAATATATACCTTATAAGGACGTAAAATTAAATGATATTTAAAAAATTCCTACAACTAGTCAATTAGAAATTAAAAGCTGAAATTCAGCGGAGGTGTTCACCTTTTTATTACTGCGGGTTGGGTGCATAGGTTTTGAAAATACTTTATTTTTTATACACTTTCCATAGTCTTATTATGCTTCACATCCTTGTTAGTGGAAATAAAGATAACCATATAGAATACCTGTGTTACGCCGCTGGCCCACATGTTCAGATCGTCAAAATGTTATCCTATTCTCTATCGCTGCCTGTGCCTGCCTAAATTACTTATTACCAATATTTGTGTCCCGTGATTCACATTGTTCAGACCGACTACATTTCAGCGTTTATAAAAACATGGGTAAAATCTATAGAAAACTCAAATCGTCTCAGAAATACGATAAATTAAAAAAGAAATGAAGAAATTGGGAGTACAGGTAGGAAAATAATGTTTTTCTGTTTATTTAACTGATTTTTAGCTTTATGTGTAAATTTCTACACTTAGACGACAAATAAATATACAGAGAATACTACTTTATGTGTCAACGGTGTCAATAATAAAATCCGTCTCCCAAACAAAAAATATGATGTGTCCAACACATGACTTTCCTATCTAGTTATTATAAGCTTTTTCTGGTTATTTTGTACAACATATCGCAGCACCTCTATAAATGGATAAACTAAATATATGTGTACATTTTCCACATTCATCTAACTCGAAACATTTTTCTATAGATATTCATTGAAAACGAAAATACTGAAAAATTAAAATTTAGCACTTCTCCATTTTTACCATTACGTTCCAATTTAGAAAAATCATCTAAAAAACAAAAATATAGATATCTTTTTAGTTTATAAGTACTAAAAAGTACTAAAAAGTACTAAAAAGTACTAAAAAGTACTAAAAAGTACTAAAAAGTACTAAAAAGTACTAAAAAGTACTAAAAAGTACTAAAAAGTACTAAAAAGAACTAAAAAGAACTAAAAAGAACTAAAAAGAACTAAAAAGAACTAAAAAGAACTAAAAAGAACTAAAAAGAACTAAAAAGAACTAAAAAGAACTAAAAAGAACTAAAAAGAACTAAAAAGAACTAAAAAGAACTAAAAAGAACTAAAAAGAACTAAAAAGAACTAAAAAGAACTAAAAAGAACTAAAAAGTACTAAAAAGTACTAAAAAGTACTAAAAAGTACTAAAAAGTACTAAAAAGTACTAAAAAGTACTAAAAAGTACTAAAAAGTACTAAAAAGTACTAAAAAGTACTAAAAAGTACTAAAAAGTACTAAAAAGTACTAAAAAGTACTAAAAAGTACTAAAAAGTACTAAAAAGTACTAAAAAGTACTAAAAAGTACTAAAAAGTACTAAAAAGTATTAAAAAGTACCAAAAGTGCCAAAAAGTACTTAAAAGTATTAAAAAGAATTAAAAATTATTAAAAAGTACTAAAGAGTAACAAAAAGTACTAAAATTAATATTGACCAAGCAGAAGGCATAGTGATTGTACCAAAATGGGAAACTCAAACACCAAATGTTTTTTTTTCTCCTGGGCTTGTCTGACTATGTGTCTCCGAATAACACTGAAGCCTATTGGCTTATTGTGTTTTACCCCATGTTAGTTGATAGCACCCACTCTGTCTCCTTTGTACCTTGTACAAGTTTGTACAGATCCTTGGGTGAACGGGTTCTATACGTTGTCCAAAAAGAGCCTGTCTGTTTCGATCTAGAGCTTCGCATTCGCACAGTATGTGTTTGGCTGTTTCTGGTTTCTTGTGACATAGTCGAAACATGAGTTCCCCATTGTACATGCCAATTTTGTTCAAGTGTCCCTTTACTGGGGCGTGCCCAGTCATGAACCCTGTTATCACTTTCAACTGGTTCCTATTCATTGAGAGTAGTTCTCCAGTTCTTTTGGAACATGGTCTGTCTATGAAAGCTTTTCCATGTGCCTGTTTTGGGGTGTTTCCCCAATAGTTGATGTGTTGTTCCCGAATCCATCTAATGTTACAAACAAAAATACTTTTTACAGTACATATCAACATTAAATCTAATTATTCACTGCAGCAAACCTTTATATTATTTATTGAACTCCTAATAACCAGAGTTCTACCCTAGCTTTCATTATAAATATTCTAAAAAAAATATAGGAAATTTCTACCCTATTCTAAATAAATTAAAAATATATATTAGAAAATTTTTAAAAGGGCCATCCTATTTAGCCAAAGTATATTCAAATTTGACAAAGAAAACACAGTTTTAAAATACTGAGTAGTTTCTATCATTTTAAAAACTTAAATATACAACAGCTAAGAGCCAAACTTGTTATTCTTGCAGCCCAACGGGTATAGACTTTCTTAAAAATTAAAGTTCAAAATGTCAAGTTGGAAGCTGACAGTATACAAATTTTCATTGACGAAATGCTAAAACTTCGAATCCACAATGAGCTCAGCCTTTATTAATATTTTCGTTCTTCCACGAATTACCTCAATTTAAGCTCGCGAAAAACAATTTTTATCCTCAGGACCTTTTATTGTAACCACTAACGCTCCAGTCCATCCAATATTTTCCCAAACTATTGGGTGGGTAGCAGGGGTGGACACATCTCTTTTTTCAAGCACATAATATACCTACATAAGTATGTACACCTCGACCATCCTCATAATCTGCGTCGATATCGAAACCATTAAAAAAACTGTAAGTGAGACGAAGATATTAGAACAGGTTTACAATCAAAAGGTAAAACCAACGTTCGCAAAAGGTTTATTAAAAAAATTAATGCACTCATTTTAAACTATTCTTAAGCATGAATTGTTAAAATTCAATTTTATTTTTTTTTACGTTGTTTAATGATTAATTAATTATTAATATTATTAATTATTATTGATAATTTTTTGAGAAATAATTATTCTTTCGTATACATTTACGTAGAAAGCAAAAATCTAGTTCTATTTTGAACTGAACATCCTCTAAACAACTACATGGTTTTCTTTATTTCCACTAACAGGGATGTGAAGCATAATTAATGGATCAAACGACTTACCAAAAGGAAGTTCGATCCTTATTATGCGAGCAGTTTGCTGAATTTAAGCTCTTAATTTTTATTTGACTAATTGTAGAAATTTTTTTAATAATATTTAATTTTACGTCCGCAATATGAGACACATTGTATATATTTTCGGTCAATTTTGAAATTTGGTGACTCTTTTTGACTGAATGTATACACCCAATTAGTGTAAATTAAAATATTCAATTTATCCTATTTAAAGCTATTCTGGTTTTTTCGAGAATAAGGTACCTACTATGTTCCTCTTAATACGGTAATATTATTTTTTAACCTTTTCACTAAGAATTTTATTAAATAAAAAGAGAATCCAGAAAACTTGCCTCAATGTAAATTCTTTAAGTTAACAACAAGATAGTAAAATTTTGAGACATATAAAAGACATTAGTATATAAAATATAGAACGAAAAATAATCTTGTTTAATTCAGAACTTTATGAGGGTAGACCGATGTGAACTAATTATTTTAGCGTGGACACCGACTGTGAAAATCCTAAACGGGTGTTATAAATCTTGACGAGTTTATAGTTGGATCATAAAACTGCAGCATTTTTTATTCGAAATCGATACCGTAGTCAGTAGAGCTGTATAATTTAAAAGTTTCGAAGATAGTGAGACGCTTTCATATGCAAAGCTGTTA